GCCTTTTTTGGTTTGATTTTTCTTTCATTTCTTGCATTTTTTGGTTTGTTTTTTCTTCCAATTCTTGCATTTTTTGGTTTGTTTTCTCTTCCATTTCTTGCATTTTTTGGTTTGTTTTTTTCTTCCATTTCTTTGAGGGATTTTCCTATATCCTCTTTTAGGGCCTCTATCATTTTCATGAAAGTGGTTTTAAGGTCATTCTCTTCTGCTTCGTTTGCCTTGGAATGTTGGGGTCTTGCTGGTGTGGAGTCTCTAGAATCTGGCGGTGTCATATTTGTTTTTCTGTTGCTGACTGTGTTTTTGTATTGTCTCTTTCCCATCTCTTCTTCTAGTGGGTGCAGAAAGAGCCCCTTACTGGTCTGGGGACCAGAGTTCCCTTTTGGTGGGTGCAAGCAAGTCCAATAATCTGGTGGTTCTTCTATTCCTTGTCCAAATGCTGGTCCCGTGTGTGGAGGAGAAGAACAGGAATCTGGGGCGCTTAGCCTCCTACCTGGTCCCCTGGACCCTATGCTGGGTCCTGTTGTACCTGATCCGGAATAGCTACTCCCCTGGTCTCCCTGCCTCCTCTGGTTTCCTGGTCTCCTTGGTGGGAGAGAAGATCTGGAGTCTGGGGTGCTTGGCTCCTGCCGGGATTGGGAGCTCTGTGCAGTTCCCAGGCAATCTGCAGGCACTGGAACACAGGCCGGGAAGCCGGCCTGTTTACCTGATGCTGCTGGAGGAACCGCCTCAGTTGTGCTCTTAATTCTCTAGTGTGACTATTCTCCAGTTTCTTCATGTGGGCACTTATAGCTATGATCTTTCCTCTTAGTACTGCTTTCAAAGTATCTCACAAGTTTGTGTATGTTGTGTCTTCATTCTCATTGAATTCTAGGAAGTCTTTAATTTCTTTTTTTATTTCTTCTTTGACCCAGGAGTGGTACAATTGTGCATTATTCAATTTCCATGAGTTTCCAGGGTTTCTGCGATTTGTGTTATTGTTGAATTCCAACTTTAAGGCATGATGGTCTGATAAGATACATGGTGTTATTCAACTTTTTTTACCTGTTGAGGTTTGCTATGTTGCCAAGTATGTGGTCGACTTTTGAGAAGGTTCCTTATGGAGATGAGAAGGTATATTCTTTTGTGTTTGGATAGAGTGTTCTATAGATGTCTGTTAAACCCAATTGTGTCATAACATCTATTAGGTCCTTCGTATCCTTGTTAAGTTTCTGTCTTATAGTCCTGTCTAGTGGTGAGAGTGGGGTGTTGAACTCTCCCACTACAAGAGTGTGAGGTTTTGTATGTGCTTTGAGTTTTAGTAATGTTTCTTTTATAAACGTGGATGGCCTTGTATTTGGGGCATAGATGTTCAGAATTGAGACTTCATCTTGGTTGATTTCTCCCGTGATGAGTATGAAGTGGCCTCCTTCATCTCTTTTGATTGATTTTATTTTAAAGTCTAATATGTTAGATATTAGGATTGTTAACTCTGCTTGATTCTTGGGTCCATTTGATTGGACAATCTTTTCCCTACCCTTAACTCTGAAGTAACATCTGTCTTTGAAGCTGAGGTCTGTTTCCTGTATGCAGCAGAAGGATGGATTTTGTCTTCGAATCCATTCTGTTAACCTGTGTCTTTTTATGGGCGAGTTAAGACCATTAATATTGAGGGAAATTAATGACCACTGATTGTTCATTCTTGTTTGTTTTGGAATGGTTGTTGTTGTTGGAATTGTATGTGGATTTCCACCACTTTTTCTTTTGCCTGTTGGTAAAGTGGGAATATCTATTGCCTATGTTTTCTGGTTGTAGTTAGCTTCCTTGGGTTAGAGTTTTCCTTCCAGAATTTTCTGTAGGGCTGGGTTAGTGGATATGTATTGTGTAAATCTGGTTTTGTCATGAAATATCTTGTTTTCTCCATCTATATTGGTTAAAAGCTTTGCTGGGTATAACAGTCTTGGCTGGCATCCGTGGTTTCTTAATATTGGTAGAATATCCATCCAGGACCTTCTGGCTTTCATAATTTCCATGGAGAAGTCAGGTGTAATTGTGATAGGTTTGCCTTTATATGTAACTTGACCTTTTTCCCTACCTACTCTTAATATTCTTTCTTTATTCTGTATGTCTGGGGATTGATTATTATGTGTCGAGGGGATTTGGGGGGGTCCACTCTATTTGGTGTTCTGTAAGCTTCTTGCACCTTCATTGGCATGTCTTTCTTTAGGTTGGGAAATTTTTCTTCTATGATTTTGTTGAATATGTTTTCTGCCCCTTTCAGACAGGTTTCTTAATCTTCTTCTATACCCATTATTCTTAAGTTTGGTCTTTTCATGGTGTCCCATATTTCCTGCATATTTTGTGTTAGGGATGTGATGGACTTAAAATTTTCTTTGGTCGATGAATCTAATTCTCCTAGTCTATCTTCAACACCTGAGATTCTCTCTTCCATTCTGTGGGTTATGCTTGCATCTGTAGTATCTGACTGTTTTCCCAGCTTTTCTATTTCCTGCATTCCTTCAGACTGTGTTTTTTTTATTGTTTCTATTTCCGATTTCTGTTCTTGCACTGTTTGAATTGTTTCTTCCAATTTTTTCTTTGTCTTTTCTTGTATTTTTGGATTGTTTATTCTTCCAGCTCCGTAAGGGATTTTCTCATATCCTCTTTGAGGGCCTCTATCATTTCCATGAAGTTGTTTTTTATGTCACTCTCTTCTGGTTTATTTGCGTTGGTGCGTTCCAGTCTTGTTGGTGTAGGGTCTCTGGACTCTGGCAGTGTCATATTGGTTTTTCTATTGCTCCTTGTGTTTTTATATTGTCTCCTTCCCATCCGTTCTTGCAGTGGGTTCCAGAGGATGCCTCTTCCTCTCCTGGTGTGTGTGGAACCGGGGTTCCCTTCTGGAGCATGTAGGCAAGTTCACTGTTGTGGTAGCTCTCCAGCCTCTGGGATGGAAGCTGCAGTGGCAGTCCCCAAGCATCTGCAGCCGGTCTAGTCCTAGTTCTGTGGGTTGAGCAGGATACTATGGTACGTTGGTTCCTACCGTCGCCTCCGGGATGGAAGCCTCAGTGGCAGAGCCTAGGTCCAAGCAGGCGGTCCGGAAATGGGACCTGGTTTACCTGGTTTACCTGGTCCCGTGAGTGGAGCAGGGGACTAGCGTGCCTTTGTTCCCAACACTGGGATGGAAGCCACAGTGATAGACTCCAAGCACAGGCAGCCGGTCTAGTCCTAGTTCTGTGGGTGGTGCAGGAAACTACTGCTCCTGCCGTCTCCACCGGGATGGAAGCCTCAGTGGCAGAGGCCAGATCCAGGCAGGCCAGATTTTCTATTTTTGTGCAATTTTTGCATTCCTATCTTCTTGGATGTTTGAAGAAGTCAAGTATGTTTTTCTTGGACACAAATGGCCATTCCATGTATATTATTTTTCATTTTGCTGGTTTCTTCTAAAATCATAAACATTAATCCACTCTTGGTAATTGCCATGTGATAGTCCCACTACACTATTGCAGAAGTCACAATTAAACTGAGCAGTCCTCTACCTTCTACACTCATTTAGGTTATTAATATTTATTTTTCTATTTTGAAAGCAGTAATAAAATAAATATCACTTTATATATGATATTGTAAACTCTTATGCTACTATTAATTGCAGGAAATGAAATTCCTAGTAAAAAATGCGAACATTTCAACTTGTGAAAGATTGTGAGCATGTCCTACCATACAGCTAGAGCACAATACCTGATTATTATATGGGCAGCAGGGGGTGAGCATCTGCAGGGATCTGTGTCAAAGGTCATGCTTGAGATAGGTCATGCAACCAGGCTTAGGGACAGCTTCCAGATAAGATCAGGCAGAGAGCACGAAGCCCTGCTTGGGGAGGGGAGCCTCCATTGGACACTGAGCTCAGAGAGCTGTTGGGACTTGGTGGACTGCAACCTTAAGTGCCGGGTACTCTAACAAAAGATAATTGCCATATTGTTTTCTAAAATGTCTTATATTTGGCTGGTGATTAAGAACTCTGACTGTTCTTCCAGAGGATACCTATTCCGTTCTCACCACCTATATGACAGCTTACAACTATCTAGAACTCCAGTACCAAGGGATACAATGTCCTCTTCTGACCTCCACAGAGAAGGATGCACCAAGCATGTATGTGGTGCACAGACATACATGCAGGCAAATAATAAAATAATCTTTTTTTTTTTTTTGGTTTTTACAAGACAGGGTTTCTCCGTATTGTTTTGGAGGCTATCGGTCCAGCCCGGCCTCGAACTCACAGAGATCCGCCTGCCTCTGCCTCCCGAGTGCTGGGATTAAAGGCGTGGGCCACCACCGCCCGGCTTGAAATAATCCTTAAACCTTATAATGGGTACTCTTGTCATCATCATGGATTTCTAGGTACTTTTTATTCTGTTTTTATGATTGATTTTATTTCAGATTATGTGTCTATGTCTGTGGGTGGATATGAGCATGCAAGTGCAGGTTCTTGTAAGAGGGCATAAGATCCCTTAGAGTTATAAGCAATTGTAAGCCACCCAAACTGAGTGCTGGGAACTGAAATTGAGTCCTAAGCAAGAACAGTACACTCTTAACCACTGCATTGTCTCTCCAGTCCTTCCTTTTTTCTTACCTACAGTATTTGGATTATTTAAACACAATTTTGAGATGCAAAGGCAAGGTGTGACTACTTAGTAATCGGTAAACCATATCCCACCTATTTTCTCGATTTCCCTTCTGTTCCTGATTTGACTCTATTCTTGGTCAACAAACAGCATTTGAAGGACACTGTGAAATTATTATCCAAAATATCTTGAGATGGGAACTCCTGCCACAGTCATAGATTTCAAGATTTCTTATACATACTTAACTTTTGCGTAGAGTAAGTATATGGACTACTTTAATACAAGTATGGGGCAACAGGGACAAGGTGTGAGAACTTACTGCTCTGTAAATCATGACTTATTCTGTTTTTCACTTTTCCTTCATACGTGTAGCTTGACTCTACATTTGTTCAATCTCATTTCTAGATTTAGTGAGGCGAAGGAATGGATCTTCAAACTGATTGGCTTCCTTTGCAGTCTCTTATCTTTGGTATTTGGAGTAATCCTTGTAAGCAGCCAATACTGGCGCCTCTGGGAATTCAACAACAAGTCTGTTCAGCTTGTGTACATCGGACTCTGGGAAGCTTACTACAATCAAGAGTTTAACATCTCTAGCTCTGTGATCAGGATTCCGGTGCACAGCCCTGTCAACTCAAGCTGGACCATTTCACCTGAATTTCAGTATGCGCAGAACCTGATATTACTGGCGACTTTGATAAACCCTGTTGTCCTGGTTTTCAACTCAGTGATCATTAGACTCACCATCATCAAAGCCTCAGACCTTGAGATTCAGATGCTCTGCTACAAGTGCTGTGTCTACATTCTTGTTCTCAGCAGCTTTTGCACGGTTCTTTCTGTCACCTGGAACCACGTAGTAGATCTTTATGGCGAAACCACCTTTGACTTTCCACCCAATTTTCCTGTTAGGAAAGAAGACCTGATAAAGAAACACCACACTCATGTGTTCCCCATAGGGGTCATGACAACGATTCTTTCACTCCTTGCTGTGATTACGTTCCTCTTCGAGATCAGGTCATTGAAACTAGAGAGTAACCTCAAGGCCTTGAATGCTTCCAAACAGGTGGATCAAATAGTCTGAAGTATGAACTCTGGCATTTCCAATATCAGCCAGGAGAATCCTTGAAGATATTTCCCATTTGCACACAATAATTATGAGTCATCAACTGGCTCCAAATAAACCATCAACCTGGTTTCTGAGTGTCTGTCCAAAATATGTATCTGTGTTGTGGAATAATCTTTTGGTACACTGTGAAGATGTGTCATTCTGATTGGTTTAATAAAAAGCCAAATGCCCAATAGCTAGGCAGGATTTTCAGGCACACAGAAGCAGAAGCAGCATGGCCATCAAAAAGTAAAAGTAACTGAGCCACATATAAGAACATAGATTAAAAGATATGGGTTAATTTAAGGTATAAGAGCTAATTAGAAACAAGCCTAAGCCATCAATAGACAAAGGTTTCATAATTAATAATGTTTCCATGTCATTATTGGGGAGCCAGATGTTCCAATGAAAAGGTCTGACTATAAATGGTGTCAAATGTGGAGCATGTGTTTCCACACAAGACCTGAAAAAGCTTCTTAAAAAGGTTCCAAAAACACAAAAACGGAGCCAAACATGGCTTCCTAGTACCACAGTCTCTCCTGTGGTCCATGGTACAAAGATGTGTCTCTCAGCTGCAGCCTGCAGACATAGAGTCACCAGAACTCCATGAGCTAAGCTGAACAGTGGTTTGAGTTCCACTCATGCAGACAGAAAAGATTTCAGATACACTGGAAAGCGGGTTCAGATGAAAAAATCCTCTAAACAGTGTTTAACAATGTGTGTAGGCGTAAGAAAAAAGAAAGAAAGGGGGTATAGACAATCATAAATAAATAAGTAGTTCAAAAAATTAAGTCTTTAGCCGGGCATTGGTGGCACACGCCTTTAATCCCAGCACTTGGGAGGAAGAGGCAGGCGGATCTCTGTGAGTTCAAGGCCAGCCTGGTCTACAAATCAAGTTCCAGGACAGCCTCCAAAACAATACAGAGAAACCATGCCTCAAACAAAATTAAGTCTTTAAAGAAGGTAAAATAGTAACAAAAAATAAGCCATGTAGAGATGTGTAGTGATATCCACCTCTACACCTGTAGCACTGAACAAGACCTTTTGGTGATAAGGTTTAGGTTTGGGGCTCAAATGCTCCCTCTTGCTTCCTGCTCAGGTCACGGAGAGCATCCAGGTGGCAGGGTGTGCATGCTTGGAGCGGGAGCCCGAGACCCTCATTTGTTTCCGGTGTAAGTTATTTTCTCCTAATAAAGTTCACTTCATCTTACTGGTCAAGCATCCTGATTTCCACGTGCAATAGATGGCAAATACACAGAGAGTCTGGATCCTGTATGTTATTGTGTTGTCTTTGATTTTTCTTTATTGCTGATAAGTAAACAACAGCTACTAGGAGACATGGGATTATTAAAGAGACTGCTGAAATAAACCAGCCTAGAAACTTTAAGAATATGTTAATTTCAAAATACAAGTTAAAATATGCTACATTGGGGAAGAGGTTATGCTTTTGTTTCCACAGAAAATGAATGGCTGTGGATTCATTCAAGGTTAATAGAGATTGGATTTGATCAGGAACTGCCCTCTAAAATGCTGGCTACAGACAAGAAGGAGGAGGAGGAAAAAGAAGGAGAAGTAGGAGAAGGAGAAGGAGTCACTATCAGACACAGAGGAAGCAGGAAAGCAGCATGGGTAGAACATAGTAAAGGTAATAAAGCCACAAGGCAAAAGTAAATTAATGGAAATGGGTTAAGAGCTAGTTAGATACAATCGTAACCTATTGACCAAGCTTTCATAATTAATAAGAAGTCTCCATGCGGTTATTTGGGAGCTGAAAGGCAGGACAAAAAAATCCATCTACACTTCTGCATGTCAGTTGCATTCCTTTCTTTAAATGTTTTCACATCCTAAAGTATGCAGGTCATTATCATGTCTTCAGATACTGACAACAAGCATTAGCAGGCAAGATTACTGCTGAAATGCAAGTTGCTTAAATAAACAAGACAAATACAGGGTAAAAGGTTTGCAAATACGCTGGAACCTCAACACACAAAAGTCACCAGATACCTGGGTGAAAACACTTAAGTGTTCATATCTCTGGAGGATAGAGCTGGACGTCTTAGCCTAGTGTCCATGGATGTCAGAAGGGGATGTCAGGTCCTCTGAAACTGCAGTTACAAAAGGTTGTGAGCCACCATATGAGTGCTGGGAACTGATCCACAGTCCTATGCAAGAACAAGTGTTCTTAATTGTTGAACTGTCTCTCCAACAACGTTTCTTTTTTCTCTTCCTTCTTTTCTTCCTTCCTCTCATTTTTTCCTTCCTTCCTTTCTTCCCACCTCTCTTTCTTTTTTACTTTTTTGAGACAGAGTCTCACTATGTAGCTTTGGCTGTTCTGAAACTTGCTATGTTAGACAAAATTGACCTCCAATTCATCTATACCCATCTGCCTACACCTCCTGAATACTGTGATTAAAAATGTGCATCGCCATGCCTGACAGCCAGCCTGGTTTCTTTTCTTTTTTATTTTATCACTTATTTATTTATTTCTTTGGTAAATTGTTCTTTGTTTTCTACAGTGGGGAGGTCTGTGAACCCACTAAGATATAGGAAGTCATATAAGTTTTCATATGGAGATAAGTCTGCTCTCCTTCTTGGAGCTGATCTAATTCTAAGCAAATCTGTAGACCATAGTAATTTTGTTTTAAGAGTAAGTTTAGCTACACACTTCATAAATTTGATTCATTCTGTCTTCCCAGATGGTGAGGAGGCATGGGGTATGGTAGTTCCACCTTAATATGGAAACTTTTGACATAATCCTTTGCTTCTACTGAATTTGATTGGCTTTTGCTGCCATCTGGTGGATTGAGCGCTTTATGGATGTAGACAATTTGAAATTATTTTTCTTTTATTTTTGATATTAATATAATTACACCATTTCTCTATTCCATTTCCTCCATTTAACCCTCCCATACAATCCGACTTGTTTTCTTTCAAATTCATACCTCTTTTTTCATTAGTTGTTACACATATACATACATACATATACAGATATATGGATACATACATATATACATATATTCCTAAATACATAAATACAGCCTGTTTGGTCTATATAATGCTTCTTGTACATATGATTTCAGGGCTGACCATTTGGTATTAAATAACCAATTGGTATGTTCTTCCCTAGATCATTTCTCCTGCTCTAAGTATCCCTTAGTTGTCGGTAGTTCTTTGTGTAGGGTTGAGCCCTTGTGGGCTTTTCCCATCCTCTTTGGAAAAACAAAAAACCCAGAATAGCCATGACAACCCTGTTCAACAAGGCAACATCCAAAGGCATCACAATCCCTGACTTCAAGCTATATTACAGAGCTATAGTCCTGAAAACAGCTTGGTATCGGCACAAAAATAGGCAGGTAGACCAACGGAATCAAATTGAAGATCCTGATATTAACCCATACACCTATGAATACTTGATTTTTGACAAAGAAGCTAAAATTATACAATGGAGGAAAGAAAGCATCTTCAACAAATGGTGCTTGCATAACTGGATGCTTGCACATAGAAGTCTACAGATAGATCTATGTCTATCGTCATGCACAAAACTTGAGTCCAAATGAGTCAAAGACCTCAACATAAATTCACCCACACTGAACTTCTTAAAAGAGAAAGTGGGGGTACCCTTGAATTATTTGGTACAGGAGGCTGCTTCCTGGACATAACACCATTAGCACAGATACTGAGATCGGCAATTAATAAATGGAACCTCCTGAAACTGAGAAGCTTCTGTAAGGCAAGAGACACAGTCAACAAGACAAAAAGGCAGTCCACAGAATGGGAAAAGATTTTCACTAACCCCACATCTGACAGAGGGCTGGTCTCCAAAATTTACAAAGAACTCAAGAAACAAGTCTCCGAAACACCAAAGAATTCAATTAAAAAGTGGGGTACAGAACTAGAGAATTCTCAGTAGAGGAGTCTAAAATGGCTGATAGACACTCAAGAAATTGCTCAAATCCTTAGCCATCAGGGGAATGCATTTCAAAACAACTCTGAGATACCATCTTAGTTTTGTATGAATGGCTAAAATAAAAAACACCACTGACAGTTTATGCTGGAGAGGATGTGGAAAACGGGGAACTCTCCTTCACTGCTGGTGGGAGTGCTGACTCATACAGCCACTTTGGAAATCAGTATGGAGATTCCTCAAGAAAATGGAAATCAGTCTACCACAAGATCCAGCAATTCCACTCTTAGGCATATACCCAAAAGATATACATTCATACAGGGGCATCTGTTCCACTATGTTTATAGCTGCATTATTTGTAATAGTCAGAACCTGGAAGCAACCTAGATGCCCCTCAACTGAAGAGTGGATAGAGAAAATGTGGTACATTTACACAATGGAGTACTACTCAGTGGAAAAAATAAAGGAATCTTGAAATTTGCAGGCAAATGGATGGTACTAGAAGAAACCATCCTGAGTGAGGTAACCCAGTCACAAAAAGACAAACATATATGGATTTTAGACATGGATCATGGGAGTGCCAGCCTATAATTCCACCACCAGAGTCTGGGAAACAAGGAGAACCCTAAGAGAGATATGCATGGTATCCCAGAGAAGGGGAATGGAATAGGATCTCCTGAGCAGATTGGGGAGGAGAGAGGGAGCTGGGAGAAAGAGAGGGAGAGAAGAGGAGGGGAGAGGAGGACATGGGGGAGCAGGAAGTTTGAGTTGGGGGAAGAATAGAGGAGAGCAGAATGAGAGATACTATAATAGAGGGAGTCATTATAGGTTTGAGGAGAGATCTGGCACTAATGAGATTGCCAGAGATCTACAAGGATGACACCAACTCGCAATCTAAGCAATAGTGGAGAGGCTACCTTAAATGCCCTTCCCTGATAATGAGATTGACGACTACCTCATATGCCATCCTAGAACCTCCATCCAGTGGATGGTGGAAGCAGAGGCAGACACCCACAACTAAACCTATTGTCGCACCTGCTGTGCGGCCTGCATCCAAGAATGTAGCCAGGTGGTCGGGATAGATGACACAGAGACCGGTCGGTTGCTTTAAGAAAACTTTATGCTTCCCAAGTCAGCTTAGGAGGAGACCCCAGTCCGCTTAGGAGAGAGAAGTCTCAGGAGAA